TGTGCCAGCAGGACGCCGACTGCCCGGGGAGCAAGCGGTGCTGCCGCACGGCCTGTGGCCGCGACTGCCGCAGCCCCCGCCGAGGTACGGGACGCCCCTCTCCCGCCTCTCCCTGGCTGCCACCCAGCGCCGCCCAGTTCAGCAGCAAACAGACCACCTCCCCGAAGCCCAGGGCTCTGGGGCTCGCTGGGCCGGGATTGGGCCGTGGCTGGGGTCCCGGGGTCCCGCTGGGATGACCACAGCCCTAAGCTGCTCTGGGCTTCAGTCTGACCTCATGGGGGCGGCGGGAGTCCTGCTGAGCACCCCCAAGGCTGGGCTGATGGGGCCTGGGTGGGTGACAGAGGCCAGGCACGGAGCCCTACGAGGGGCCAACCCTTTCCTTCTCTCTCCTCAGACTGACTGGTTAGGATCTACGGCTCTGATGCTCAGGATGGGGCTCCCGGCAGGATGACATGATCGTGGGGGGCCTGGGACCCTGCTTCCAGGCAGCACCAGCTCTGCCTGCGGTGATTCGGCCTCCTGATAAGCGCTGATCTGCAGCCTCTCCCCCTGCAACTGCCCTGGCAGCGCCTCTGGGAGTCAGGAGCCCCCAGACCTCAGAGGAGATGAGGTCCCAACGATGAGGTCCCTCTGTCCCAACGAGCACCCCAACACCTCGTCCACGCCTCCCCAACACCATGTCCACGCCTCTTCCACGGGGGCTCCTTCCACCTAAATGCCTCGTTTAGACAGGTTGCTTCTGTGGAGCCTGCCCATCCCCCACGTGTGTTCTAGAGTTTTCCAAAGCTCTATCTACTCATATGGCCCCTTCACATCTCTGGCCCACAGCAGAGAGAGCACTGAGTATTCTGTGTACTGCCCACACTATTGATCTAACGTCCTTCTTTTCTTCCAATGGACTCGCTTTTGTAAATAAGTAAATTCATTTCAAAAGAAAAGCTTGATGTCGCGGCTACCAATGGGCTAAGCAGGACCCCCCGCCCCAAGCCGAAGGTAACTGTCAAGGCAAATGCACTGGAAACAGTCACGCGCCATTAGAGTAAATGACGCCGTTACGTTCTGGCGAGAGCCGGCCGCCTGCCAGGACGGAGCCCGAAGCCTGCTCTGCCCCTGTCCTAAGGAAGGGAGGGCCAGGGGACGAGAGACGTTAGGACACGGGTCCCTAGACTGAGCCCTGGTGTAGCAGGAAGGACTGAAAAGGAAGTGACTGTCCCAAGAGCCGGAGCCGTCCGACACCCATCAGGTTTACTTGGGGGCTCAAGCTGGAGCAGCGGGATGTTTCTTCACGGGTGGGGCCTGCACCCACCCCTGGAGACACCTCTCTGGGTGGTTATCTACAGCCCCATCTGTAGTCAGAGCCCAACAGCCATCCCAAGGCCGCGCAGGCCCAGGAACCTAGATTTCTGACTCTCCCTCCACCCAGGACTGGCTTGGCAGAGAAGGGGGTGAGGCCTGCAGATGGGGGGCTGGCAGCCCGTAGTGCCAGGAGGGGGGGTTCCAGACCATCTCACCCCATCCCCCTGGCTTTACAGCTTGGGCACAGATGAGCAGCCACCCTGAGCCTGGCTTGCCCTGTTGGAAGATGGGAAGAATCCCACCTCCTCACCGCCAGAGTCCTCTTCATGAGGTTCAAAGGCCTGAACTGAGGACTCAAAAGCAGCAAATGGTGATGGACGCAAGACAAGGTCTGGGGAGAGAAGGGAAAGCCAGGAGTCAGGACCTCCTGTGAGGTGGGATACTTCCCTTCCCCCTCCTGGGCCTCCATTTCCCCATCTGTAAACCCAGGCGGCTAACACAGATAAACCGGCACGCTGTGTCATCTGCCCACAATCTCCCCCACACTCTCTGTGCCTCCCCTGAAGGAGAGAATGCGGGCCTGGAGTGGTGACTTTGGGGGGGGCCATGGGACATGGTCTGGCTAGTGGGATGTGGTCACAAGCGACAGTGTGCATTTCAAGGCAAGGTACCTTCTAGATGCTTCCGTGAGAAGAGCCCCTCAGTACTCATTCTCCAATGAACTTTAAATGACTCTCATTTCATGCATCCACCCCGAGAAAAGTAGGCATTTTATTTCCACTTGGAAATGAATAAACAGGGATCCTTACAAATAAAACAAAGCTCTTAGACACAGAGAACAGACTGGTGGGAACCAGAGGGGAAGGGGGTGGAGTGTGGTGAAATAGGTAAAGGGGACTCACTGTAAACTGGTGGGTGGGAACTGGGCTTTTAGTGGTGCTCACCAGGGAGGATATTCAGGTGTCAAACTTGTCACATGACACTCCAGTAACTTTCAGAATGTTATCCACCAATAGTATCTTTCAAAAAGTATTTCAAGAAAGATAAAATGAAAGAGACTGAGATAAATAATTTGTTCAAGACTTCAGCTAAGCAACGAAGCAGCCAGAATTCAATCACCCCAGGTTGCTCCTTAGATGTTAGTGAAACCAGAAACAGCTGTGATGATAGTGCACGTTATGTACCAGGTATCACTTTAATCATTTTATATGTATAAACTTACTCTATCCTTCCCATCTCACCACACACACAACCATTTTTCACCCTCCACATATGAGGAAACTGAGGCACAAAGAATCTGATCGTGGTGGTAAAGGCTGAGATTCAACCCCAATCAGACTGAGGCTAAAGTTTACAACCTTGTTAACTACATAAAGTCAATTAGATGAATTGCTCCCACCTTTAAAGACTTAGCTGCCACACCTGACTAACGGGGATAACAAAAACCCGAGAGAAGGCTACGTGGCCAGTTACAACTCCAGGCAGCTGGACCCTAAGTTGCTGTTGTGCTGGAGAGGCAGCTCATTGCCCTGAGCGTCAGGAAGAAAGTCTGGGTGAGCAGGTGAGAACTTGGTAGCTCAGGGCCCGTGCAATCCTGAGGCCCTGAGTTCTGGGCTGGCTTCCTGGGACCTTAGGAGTCAGATCACAGGCCTGGCTTCTCTGTCTGTAGGTGACAACCTCGGACAGTCCACTCTAGGTCCTTTTCAGCTTCTTGGCTGGCTCCTTAATGTCCATCAGCCCTGCATATAGGTCTGTATAGGGCCAGCTGTAGCCTCTGCTACCAAATTTCAGCCCGCCCAGCTCCATCTCCACTGCCTGTGTCCAGGCAGAAGGCCACCTGTGAGACTGGTAGGCACCCTGGGCCCAGGAGCCTGGGTTTTTAGTCTCCAGTTTAGCTTTGCTCCCCCATGTATTCAATAAATGTTTGTCTAACAAGTAGTGCAGGCTCCAGGCAGCCTTGTCCGTGAGCCCATGCCCTAGAGATGAGACAGAGCTAGAGTTGTGTGATATGCATTATACTGGCCAGACCCGGGAGACTGACTAGTCAGCCTGGAGACCCGGGAAGACTTCCTGAAGGAGGGGCAGTCACGCCAAGGCCGCGATTCTTAGGAGGGGGTAGCTGAGTGTGGCACCTCTAGTCCTTCATTCTCCCCTCTTCTTTACCAACAGGCATGACCCCACTTAGAAAGACTTGCCTACCCTCCAGGCTATTGAGGTGCAGGTGGTAATCTGTGTTGCAGCCATACGGATGCACAAATTTTTTAGAAATTCAATCAGCCACAAAACTTTGCACACCTTATAAGAACATTATATTAGGTTGCTGGAAATGTCATCATGCATTTTGCTTGAAAAAAAAAAATACATCATGACTTCTTTGACAACCCAGTACTTTCATTTCACAAAGTAAATTTTAAAGTTTCTCATCCCCAGACTCCCTTGCAGCTAGGATTGATCATGTGACCCAGCACAGACCAATCTGAAGTTAGGGAAAAGGTTTTCCAGAAAACTACTGTTTTCCTAACAAAGGAAACAAAGGACACCTTCTGCCTGTCCCCCCTGGGATAAAGCTGCTGCAGCTGGACAGCCACATGCTGACCTTGAGGAATGTCACTCTATATGCTCACCAGGAATGAAACTTGAGGGGAAGAGTCATATGATGGTGACGGTTTGGGAAGGCTCCCAGGAAAAATGGGTATGGAAGTAGAAAAGTGTGCCTGGGAGGCGAGGAGGCAGCAAGGTTGAATTTCAAGGAAAACCCCACACGGGGGTCGTTGAGACCAGAGTAGATGACGTTTCACAGTTGTCTGCGTGGGTCAAGGGATCTGGAATGTCTATGCTTCTATTCCCCAAAAGCACCAATTAAGAACACTGATTCTCAGCACTTCAGGGTCTCCCAGGCACCTCCCAGGGGCAGACGCAGTAGGTTCACAGAAGCCCCTTGACAGACAGAGAGACGCAGACATGAGAGGTCTGGAGGAACAGGTGGGGGCAGTGTGCACAAAGTGGAGAAGGGATTCACCAGGCTCTAGGGAAAACACTGGCGAGAGTGCTGGCTTCTGCAAGAGTGAGGAGTAGCGAGGGGTAGTACCCAGGAGCTTGGGTCCTCAGGGCCACCCGTGGGCAGCTGGACCAGCCCTGGATGGCTGAAAAGGTCGGCTCCTCTCTGATGAGCTCCCCTCTGGCTCAGTTTTGTTCTTGAAGCTATATTAACTGGTAGATGGGGTAAAGAAAGGGCAGGACCCTCCTTGGTGGCACAGTGGGTTAGGACACAGCACTGCAAGCTGGCCGCAGCCGCGTCAGTGCAAGTTAGATCCCCGCCGGTAGGTGACTCACATGGCAGCAGACCTCTCCTGACCAGCCCGCTGCTCCCCTCAGCTGTGTACTTCATCAGTCGGCCTGTTCTGTTCCCCACTCTGTCTCTGGTGAATCCTCTCACCACCCCTGCACCTCTGGTCTGTACTCCAGTTCTGTATGAATAAATAAATAAATCTTAAAAAAAAGGGGGGAGGGCAGGAAAAGTTGTTCCTGGAGAAGGAACAGCACATCCAACCCACAAAATAGACACTGTTCCCAGGATCACATGGGGAAGGGAAGGACCCAGGAAGAGACTGCGTGGGGGTGTGGGCACACAGCTAATCGGGGTTTCAAGCCCAGGGTAAGAGTTGGCTTCAGTGTAATGAATTGCCACACATGTCACACTCATTACACGCATTAGCTTGGTTATCTCCTGGCTTCCGTGGGTCCAGAGCCCAGGCGTGGCTCTGGTGAACCCTATGCCAGGGCTCACAGGCTGAAATCAGGAGGCGCCAGGTCTCATCCGAGCCTCGAATGGAGAAGATTCCACTTGCAAGTTCATGTGGCTGTTGGTAGAATGTCAGTTCCTTGAGGGCTTGTGGACTAAGTTCCTCGATTCCTAGTTGGCTGCTGGCGAGAAATGGCCCCTCAGCTCCTTGGGTTTCCAGCTTGGCACCTTGCTTCATCAACACCAGCAGGAAGTCACCATCTTATGTAACCTAATCCCGGAAGCCACATTCCATCTCTGCCACATTACTGGGTAAGTCACTGAGTGCTGCCCGCTCTCAAGGAGAAGGGCTTACACAAAACCATGAGCACCAGGAGGCAGGCATCCTTGGGAGACATTCTAGAAGCTTCCTGCTACACCCAGATCGATTTAATTACAAACATTTCTTTATGTCCTTTATGTAACACCAAGCTCATTCTTTTGGGCAAAACCCTGTGAGTGCAGATGGCTACTTCTGGCCGGGGACCAAGAGAATCTGGAGGGGTAGCACAGTCATGGCACATAAAGAATACGACACCCCTTTGGCCCAGAGGCCTGTGCACCCCTCTTGCCACTCACTGCACACTAATTCACCCAACAGTCTGTTTACCTCACACAGTGTGATCTGGGATCAAACCAGGTCCTGATTTCATTCTCTTCTGCCCTTGGGAAACAGTTCTGCCTTTTCTCTTCTGGGAAGTTATCTCTCCAATTCCTTGGAAACCTTCTAAGTCTGGGGGTCAGGGAGTAGTAGGTTTAGAAATGGGACACCTGCCATTTTGCACATCTGCCTCAGTTTCCTGCTGGTAATTGAGCAAGATGGGCCTCTTCCTGCTCTAATTTCTCTGTCTAGAGGCCGAACGGAAGAGCCCCAGCCTACAGCAGGGCTGTCCAATGTGGCAGCCACGAGCCACACGTGGCTACTAAGCACCTGAAATATGATCAGTGCAACTTGAGATTTACCGCCGGAAGACGTCATGGGCAGAACACTAAGATGATTCCCAGTGACCCACCCCGCATTTTCTCCACTTTGAGGATAGATGGGCTGAGTGTGTATTATAGGGAGGAAGAAGGACTTATCCTGCGTGGGCCTGGTCTAAGCAGTGAGTCTTAGAAAGCAGAGCACTTTCTCTGACTGATCACAAAAGAGGGAGTCAGCTCCTGGGCTTACCTGGAAGAAAGCAAATGTCCATGCTGGGGGCCACCAGCCCAGGAACGGCAGAGAAACTCAAGAAATGGGGAGTGACCCCCAGGAGAAAGCAAGCAGGAAAAAGGGAACCTCAGTCCTACAACCACAAAGAAATGAATGCTACCAACAGTCTGATCTTGGGAGAGGACCCCAAACTCCAGTTGCTGAGAGAATCCAGCAACCTGCAGGATCTGTGGAATAACAAATTTGTCTTGTTTTGAATTGTGAACTTTGTGGCAATTTGTTACACAGCAATAAAACCCTAATACACTGGATTTCAAAGACTTAGTACAAGAACGAGAATGCAAAATATCTCAGTAATGTATTGATGATGCCGTGTTGAAATGATAATATTTTGAATAGCTGGGACTAAACAGAGCTTCTCCTTACCTTTTTAAATGCTGCGATCAGGGAATTTAAAGCTGCTTGCTAGCTTTATGTCTATGGGAAGATGTTGGCCTAGAGGACTCAGGAGTCAGCTGTGATAGATGGAGCTGTGAGTCACTCCATCTATCCAAGTCTTGCATTTCTGCTTTCAGATAACAATGGCACCAACCCCACAGACGTAATTGTAGCTGCAACGAAACGAAGCCTGTAGAACACTTGGCAATGTTGGTTGAATGAATTATCCATTTCATAGAGCAGGCAGAGGCATTCCACAAGCGAAAGGGATCTCCCGCACTCCGACAGCACTCCAACAAGCACTCAGGTCATGCTGGTTATCATTACTATTAATATTTGCAAAGCAGAAGACAGGTCATGGTCTCCAACACCTTCTCTCCAGCCAGGGACACAGTAGACATTCAATAAATGCTGCAGAGATGCAACCTTGCCAGAGCACAGTGCTCCCCTCCCAGGGCACTCAGAAGGCAGGAATCAGCAGTCTGTGGGCAGGTGCAGAGACTGAATTTCAGGGGGCAAAAAGGTATTTCAGGCTTCTCAGCCCACAGGGGAAGAGCCCATTGTTCAGTCACTTGGGGCCGGCCTGGGGCTCTCGAGGTGAGGCCACCCTCTCCCACTCCCTACACAGATCCCCTTCCAGTGTAGCCTTGTGTCCCAGTGCCAGGTCTGCAGCTGCTAGCTAAGAGCTCGGCAGGCACCCGGGCTTCTGAAGGAAAGGAAAGGTGAGACTTCCGGGTAACCCAGACAAAGCACCTGAGGCCAAGGTACCTGCATGGACCAAAGACGCAATTACTGGAACTACTACTTATGTTCCTTTGTCAGGGAACCCTCCACCCCACCCCCAACCCCTCTCTGGGCACCCCTGTGACCTAAATGACCTCTAGTCCCCTGACTTGGTGGGGGCGGAGGGATGCCCCGCTTAGGTCTCAGTCTCCAGACAGCACCACCATCACCACCTCCGCCCCCACCAAGTCAGGAATAGAAACCAACGCCTCCGGTCGCCCGCGGCCTCCCTCCCTCCCCCGGCAGCGATCGATGCGGCCTCAGCCGCCGGGGACTGAGAAAGACAGGGAAGGAGGGGGCCGCGGGCCGGCGGCTGCAGCGAGGCTCCGCGGGCCGCCAGGGCAGAGACCAGCCGCCAGCCGCTTTCAGCCTTTACGACTTCAGGGACTTGCGCACAGGTAAGGGGCCGAAGCTCTCCTGCGCAGGGGGGTAGGGGGAGGGCGTGGCCAGGGGAGGGGAGAGAGGTGCAAGAATGGGATGCAAAGGCTGCCCCCCACCCAGTGGGGGTGCCCCCGCTCCCGCTGGGAGACACTCTCCAGAGGGGGGCTGTGCCATGGCCCCCTCTGGGGCTAGCCCTGCTCGCTCATCTGTAAAATGGGATTAGAAAATCTCCCAAGAGTTGGTTTAGGCATTTACACAGCCCAGAGTAGTGACCAGCATGCAGTGGGTGGTCAGAATGAATGTGTGCTGAGAGTTTTGAATCAAAACCCTAGTTTCCAACCTTAACTGTTCTGTGAACTATCTGGGAAGGCTGAGCAAATCACAATCTCTCTTACTGATGACAGATCGTGTCTGGAAATGTGGATTGAATGAATTACCCCATTTCGTAGAGCAGGAAGGGGAGTTCCATAAGAGAAAGGGGTCCCCCCGCACTCCTACAGCTAATGGCTGGATTAGAAACCTCATCTCCCAAGGCCAAGACCAGTGCAAGGTTATGTGCCAGCGACTGAGCGGCTGCTAACATCTTGCCTCATAACCCCTCTGGAAAGCTCTGCTCTGACCCCTACACCCTTAGTAGGTGGGAAGTGCCGAGGGGGTCACGGACCTGCTCAAGGTCAACAGTTAAGACTGAGAGACTCAGAACTTGAATTCAGAATTTGACCAGAGAAAGGTGCAAGGGACTAACATTTACTGAGCACCTGCTGTGTCCCAGAGGCTGTGCACACTGGGAGTGCTGTGTTCCCCTTTCCACAGATAAGACAGCTAAAACCCCTGAGCAAGAGGAGACAGGCCTGAGTTCATGCCAGCGACAAAGCTAAGGATGAAACCCGACCCATTTAACACCAAGCCAGTATGGGAAGGGCACCCCAGAGAGTGAAGGGCGCCCCAGAGAGTGAAGGGCACCCCAGAGAGTGAAGGGCGCCCCAAGTCGCTCCCTGCCAGGCGTCAGGCACCTTCACGCCCTCATCCTGCCTGGGAAGCAGGCATTCCAGAGCCACAGTGCAAATGAAATTACTGAGGGCCACAGTGGAGTCACTAGCTGTCAGTCCTGGCAGAGCTCCGAGAAGCTGACATTTCCTGAGTAACCGCTCGGGCTGAGTACTTTCCCGTAACCCACCTTTCTCCTCCAGCCTTCCTTGCGGCCACCACCTGCACTGTGCATGGAACAAAACTGGAGAAAACACCATCCTCAAGGCCCCAGGTGCATCCGGGGCGGAGATAAACCCAGGTGCTCCTGACTGCAGGTGGTGAGATTCTCAGCCCCCCCCATAGCCCCCCCCCCCAGCCAGGTCTGATAAAGATGTTAGGCTACTCTAACCACACTTAGAGGTGGCTATTTTTACCTCCATTTGACAGAAGCTCCAGGAGGTGACAAGAATTGCCTGAGGTCACACAAGAGAGCCAAAAGTCAAGGTCAAGTCTGCCTGTACACATGCTTTAAAATAGTCTCAACCATGGACATGCTTTAAAATACTCTCAACCACAGATCACAAACTTGATCCTGCCTCAGAATCACCCTAGAAGCTAGTTAAAATGAGACCAGTGGCCCGCCTCCTGGATTTCTGTTTCAGCAAGTCTAAGAGCAGGTTGAAAACCTGCATCTTTGAGAAATTCCCAGATGATGCCGATGCTGCTAGTCCAGGGACCACACTTTGAGTACTGTACCACATTTGTTCTCCAGCAACCGCAACTAGTAAAGCCTAGTAAGCATTGCTGCGCCCCCTTTACAGAGGGGAAGACTGAGTTTCAGAGTGCTGGTCTGTCCATGACCCCCTAGATCTCGGCTACACAGAAGTAAAGCCCCTCACGGGTGCCAGTTTGCTCTATAATCCTCCAAGGATTTGCTCAGCCTTTGCTTATTCCTATAAATAGGAAGGGGGTGGGGGTGGCTCCGTGATTTAGCTAAAGTCCCCCAGGGGGGCATAGGGATGTTCAAGCCCAAGCCTGACCGAGTCCAGAGGGACCTGAGCCATTCCCGTAGACACCCCCCCCCCCATAAAAACCCCTAGCCGGTGGCTGGAGCAGGGCATGGAAACCCATTTTCCCCGAAGGTCATGCGCCTCCCGCCCCACGCCCCCCAACCTGCACAGCTCAACGCACCTCTCTCGGGTCCACAGGCCAG